TTAGGTCCTTTATTATTTCTGATCTTTATTGATAATGTTGCTGAATTTCTGAATATTCTGAGTTGAGGAATATCACCTTCTTCCTCTTTGCTGACGTCGTCAAGCTGTACCATGTGATTAATGATGATTAAGACACAAAAACACTTCAAATCGCCTTTTATATTTTATTGATAGGTGCTCAAAAAAAAAAAAAATAAATAAATAAAATAATAACAATTTTTTAGATGTAATAAAAAAGTAAATTCATCCTATTTTGGCAACAAATTTCACCTACAAACTTTGAACCCATTTAAAGATCTTAGTTTAACATTTACTGCCCTCGAATTTTCCCAGCATGTGACCAATATTACTAATAAAGCTAATAAATTGTGAGGAATTGTTGAGATACTTAACACTTTAGAAACATATCGACAATAAAAAAATTATTTTCAATAATTCGTAGTAATTTAGAATATGCTATGCATGATCTGGTCACCCTATCAAAAGTACCTTTGGGTCAAAATTGAAAGAGTTCAAATTAAATTTTTAAGATATGCTTCTTTTAAATTAAAAATCCCCCTAAAAATGAACATGTACTTAACCCTAAACCTGTTAACTATGAGGGGAGGCCAACTGATTCACTTCTCCTTTATAGCGTTATCAATAGCAAAATTAATAGCCCAAATTTATTAAGCCTAATCACTTTCAATGTCAGCTTTCACGACAGTCGAAAACCCTTCCTTTCTTAGATCTAACACAAAAATATAATTACTTTACTCTGGCATTTCTAGAATTTTAACTGTTAGTAATCAGCATAACTACAATTGATATGTTCGACGCAAGCTTCTTGCTTGTCTATATTAATTATTAAAAAATAAACTACTGGTTTTGTATCTACGTCTAACCAGAGTTTTGTGGGTAACAAATAAGAAATAAATATTTTAACAAATGATCTAGTTTGATTCTCAATGTAAAATACTCTTCTCATTAGAACTAACTGCAGTTATGGAAATCTGTCGGTTATATATTCCTGCGATGATTAATTTTAGCGTTCTGTTGTATTTTTCCCCAAGCGTTAAGTTTCGTAAAAGTCATTATTTCTTTTATAGCGACGGGGGGAGAAGATAAGGGACAAATTATTTTTATAAAACGGAGGGGAGTTCTGTAGGGGAGGCTTGAACCCACTTTGGTAACAGTTTTTAAAGAGAGATGCCATTTAGAGAAAAAAATCATAAGAAATTAGAACTTCATTCAGCCCAAGGTCTACAAATAATAGATCTAAACGGGCAAAAGAATCTATTTTTTTACATACACTGCGCTATGTTTAACATAAGCTAAATGGTTAAACTCAAGCTTGATAGATAGATGGATGAGATTTATTAATGTTGTCGGCGTGAAAATACCTAAAATTTGGTCGTTACAGATCAAATCAATTTAGTCCGCCTATCCTCGCAGAGTTGGCCTGTCATACCACGTGAAGTCAAGTCTCTTGTAAGGCGGACTCACTGAAGAAGGCCAAACGCATCTGTCAGACCATCCCAGCGATCCAGGAACGTCTTTTGGTTAGAAAGAAATATTTCACATCGTCATTGACTGCAATTTGTCTACAATCTTATTATATTGTCTCTTAGGAAAATTCATGAGCTACGTTTGATCTATTGTCAGAAAATTTTCTTAACTTATTTTTAATATAGTTTGGCCCGAACATTTTGGTCTATCAGATGGGTTTCGGCATTTCTCAATCTTCAATTCTGGGTTTATGTTACCACATATCTTGTTGAAGTGACATTTGTTTATGTCGTGAGATTTCCTCCTGTGTTATTCAGGGAGATGGACCGATTTGATCTCTCAGACGTGTTTCGGCTTATCGACATCATCAGTTGAGGGGTTTTATCTTATTTCTTATTATTATATACATGAACTTGTTGAAGTGACTTTCGCCATTGTCGTGAGATTTTTTCCTGTGGTATACCTAGATTCGCTGGGTTGGACTGTCATTTCACTATCTTCAGTGGTCGTCTTTTTTTATAACCAACACAAACTGAAGATGGCCAAATGCCGGAACGCGTTATCAGTCCAATATAGACAGAACAAAACGATCGGTGACAACCAAACTTTCTTTTGGATTCAGAGAAATCTTATTTACATGGTGATTGAATCCAATTTGTCAGTGTATACAATTTTTTCGCTTTAGCTCAGAAACCCACCAGTGAAGATGGCGAAATGCAGAAAAACATCTGACACCGGTCAAGAGTTAAACATCCAAAAATGAAATATTAAGGGAACAAAACGGTGCATACTTCGAGAGGAAACCATTCTCCTGATGCAATTTGGACGTTACTGATCATTTTGGTCGGCTGGTCTGTTAAACGCCTTTGGTCTTCTTCAGTGTGCCCTTATAAAAAGTGACTTGGATTCGCTGAAATCACACAGGCCACTAAAGATGGCGATGTACCCAGACCAATTAATCTGAAAAGATCACTGACAGGCTCATCACCTAGCAGACCACAGAAAGAAATCTCACGACAGGCAAAAGTTGCCTTAACAAGTCCATGCATACAATAATAAGTAATACTATAAAACCCACCACTGATGATGACGAGAAGTTGAAATACGTCTGGCATATCAAAATTAGTTTACGAATTTACTTACTACCTTCATTACCAAAGACCAAATTTATCTGAAAAGATCAATTACTGGTTCATCCACCCCGTAGACCACAGGAAAAAATCTCAAAACAAAGACATATAGCACCACGAGCCCGTGTATATAATAACTAATAGGTAATACTATAAAAATCACCACTGAAGATGGCGAGAAGTTGAAATACATCAGATAAACATGAGTTCACGGTTGGTTAGGGTTTATGAGTTAAAGAATTTTCCTTAATCAAAGATAATAGATTGTAGACACAGGCAAATTGCAGTCTATCCCCGTGTAAACATTTCTCTCTGTTCAAAAGAAATTTTGGATAATTTTTAAAATTTGGTCGATACCGATTATCTTGGTCCGCCTGTCATTGCTGGGTTGGTCTGTCAGACGCGTTTGGCCTTCTTCGCTTTGAATTATAAAAAGGGACTCACTGAAATCACACAGAGCCACCACTGAAGATGGCGAAATACCAGAAGATCGGCAAGACATCTCAAATGACAGTTCATCATCCCGCAGACAACAGGAAGAAATCTCACGACAAAGGAAGATGTCAAAACTAGTCAATGTATATAATAACTAATAGGTAATGCCGTGAAACCACCACTGATGATGGCAAGAGGTACGTCTGACAGATCAACATGGGTTTACGGTTGGTTAGGTAAGGTTAGGGTTTATGAGTTTACGAATTTTCCTTAACCAATAGATTGTAGACACAAGCAAATTGCAGTCGATCACCGTGTAAACATTTCTCTATATTCAAAAAAAGTTTGGATCATTTTTCAAATTTGGACATCACGGATCATGATGGCTTATTCTTGCTCGGTTTGTCTGCCAGACGCGTTTGGCCTTCTTCAGTGTATACTTATAAAAAGTCTTGTATTCACGAAAATCACACAGAACCACCACTGATGATGGCCAAATGCTGAAACTCGTCTGTCTGAGATTAAGAGATAAAGATCCTAAAGAGAAATATTAAGAGAAAAAATGGCGCATCCTTTCACTACCATTCTCCTGATGTAATTTGGTCGTTACTTATCATTTTAGCCGTTCGATCACTTCCCCATCTTCACTGGGTCTGTTAAGTCAAGCCTAAACAGAATCACAGACACACTGAAGATGGCGAAGTATCAGAACAATATGATCGGTAAGGATCAAATATCATCATTACACTTCAGGAAATCTTACGTTGATAAAATGTCCTGAATATAATAACTAAATAGATTTGACGTCTGTCTGTCACCCTGATCTGTTTTCTATAAACTTTAAACAAAATAAGCGTACTGTTGGGAACTAAGTTTAATTGTTTAAACCGCGAACGAATTATAAAATCTCGATGAGTCATTTGTTTTCCACCGACAACTGTGTAATTGAAAACGCACCTGCGGTTTCAACTGAGTTTCACTTTTTAATTATAAATTACCCCTGGTGTGTCTAATTAAAATTTAAAGTTACCCTTGTTTCCTGTTTATACGCGAGATTTGTGTACTTGTTTTGGTGCTAGTTTAAATTTTGAACCCTGGCGTTTTGTATCTTTAGGATGAAAAAAATCCGTAAGACGGGAAATCCCTCTTGTATTACGGATGCATTTTTGTTTTATACTCGAAATCGGGGAAAAAGGCTGACGCCAGTTTTTTTTTCTTTTTTTTTTATAGAGAGCGGGGATCAAGAAGCCCATTATTTTCTTTTTCCAATCTCACCGAGTGCCATTCGGTCGTCACCGTCCTTTGTTGCCGTTCGACCCGACTCGCCGTTTAACCCCCCCCCCCCGCAAACCGTGTTTTCGACATAAACGGCAAACAGGTCAAATATCGAAAGGCTGACTGGAAAAATTTAAAATCGGGGTGAATTTTACGGCCCTCACGCTCCTTCTAACCTGTGATGACAACATATTTTTTATCGTTCTAAAAAGATTTAATTGTTTTTAATAATGTTTCAACGTCAAGCCGTCACAGCCAGGGACGCTGCGTTTACCCGGGCGTATTGAAGAGAAGGAAACAGTCATGAAGGTTTTACCTCGGATAGGTTATGTTGTCGTTCAAACGCTCTAAGATCTACGCAATTAAGACACCAAACCGACCTTTTATCAATAGCATAATATTTTATTACCTTATGCGATAATAACACGTAAAAAGAGAGAAAACATCGATTATGAGAGATTCTCCAACAGCAGAATTCATTTGTTTAACTTAAAAGAACAAAAGAGGGTGAGTTAAGTTTTACTAAATGGTGGTTATAATGTTGTGAAAGTGTAGATTTTTGTTTTGGACTATGAAACGTACAAAAAAAGCTTAAAATATTATGTTTATATATAAATAATAAATTTCCCGGTGTTGTTCAGTAAAATAGTAATTGGTGATAAATGAACTTACGGCTGACGCTGGATGCCTCGCGGGCGCCGAATACATGGTCACCTGTTACACCGAGTCCCTCTATTCGTCTATCATCTGCGGCGGAGTTTCATTATCCAAAAACCTTCACACAGGACACTCAAAAGCGTCGCACACACAAAACCGGGATGTCGCCACTCCGTCGAGAATACGAGAACACAGAGGAAAATGGATCGAAACTGAAAAAAGCTCGCCGTGTAAGAAAATAAGCGTCGGGGCAAAAAGAGGAAAGCGGCGGACCGACTCGGTGCTTACTGGGCGATACTTTTCCTCCTAATGTTGTGTCGGTAACAAGAGGGACCCACGTGGTTCTCCCTGGAAAGAAACGTCACAGGCTCAGGGCCAATGAGGAGCGGAAAAAGGGACCAGGGACACGCCTACCGCCCGACTCCACGTGGAGTATCGACTAACCGATCCACTCTGTCTCGTTCCCACCCGTGGCGCCGGCGTCGGATGTCTCTCTCGCGCCAGGCCCCCACTCATCCGCCCTCGCCGACTCAGCCGCGCTATCCTCCTCTCGCTCTAAACAACTCAGCCGCTCGCCCTCGGCCGGCCACCACCCCCGCCGCCGCCCGACCGCCGGCCACCCCGCCCGCCGCTGCCTACGACTTACATCCCCCTTCTTATCATAATCTACAATAAAATTATACGACTAATAATGTTTCCAACGTCAGGGAGGACGCGCGCACCCTGACGAAGCGACGCCTCCCGGACCCACTAGTTCGTCTTCGTCAAGTATTGTTGGTCCATCTGTGAATTGTTGATCTTTTCCCTGGTCTTTGGATCATCTATTTAACTAGGATGGCCTGCTTTCAAATAGACGATGACTTATTTAAATAAGACTAAGCCAATAAAATAATAAGCGGAATCATTAATTAATAATTAGTCTGATTTTTTTCTAAATAAAATTTTTATTTATTTATTTTTTTTTAATTTGTCATTTTGATTATTTTAATTCAGAAAAGCAGGCATTCCCTCGGGAAAAAGAGTTTTAGGGAGAAATATAAGTATTTATACATCTGCAAATAATGAGATTTTTAGTCAAATTGGATTAATCTATTACATAAACACGACGCACTCTCTACACGGCACACAAGAATGGCCAATTACGCAGAAAACAAACTCTTTGAGCCCTGAAGATGATCTCAATAAAGATAGAAACGTTCGCACGATAAAGAAAATGTTTTTCTGAAACCTACATCACACCAGACCACACCTCACGATTTCCGAATAACTATAACATAAATACCATTTTAATTCTACTTCTAATTATTTCCATAATTTAGTATATTTGTCCCTAAGACCATAGAAGTAGACGTTTTCCTAGTTTTTGAGTCATATGTGATGGACTATACATTAACTTTTAATACCTGCAATAAAAAATCCTATAACAATTAAATACCAATTAACGGAAATAAAGAGAGTGAAGCTTTTTTAAAGAGGTTTTTGGGCTAGAATTCTTTCACGTTACTTTTAAATATTTGTGTATTTCTATACAAGACAAGGGAAGATAAAGAATGAAGTAGTCCAAGAAGAAAGTGTTTTTGGGGTATGTACTCCTATATTTGTTGTTGTTCAGCTTTATAAATAATAAAGTGTTTTATTGTTAACTATCAATTTTAATATTCAATTTTAATAATTACAGACAGTACTCCGTGGTCACCTATTCTTTGGATCAGCCCTCTGACTAGGGTGGCCTACATCGAAAGTAAGCTGACTTACTTAAGCAGGACGACTCAAATAAAATAATGTACGGAATCATTAATTCTTGAGATTAAATAGTTGTTTTTAAATATTTTTTAGGGGATTAGGCGTTTTTCACGTTGTTTCGATAATTTTAATACATTTGGATCCAATACCAAAGAAGTCTGCTTTTTCCCAGCTTTTAAGTCATATGTCTTAATATTTGGCTAATTTCGTAAATATACATTAACAATTAATTAAGGTTTTTAGTTGAGATAAAAAAGTCAATGGCACGAGCGGGATTCGAACCCACGATCTTCGGCTTGATACGCCGTTGCTACTTGAGCTATCGTGACCTCGATCCACTCGGACACCAACATCCCATCTCAACCCCACCTTTTGAATTTTCCCTCCTTTTTGCCATTTTTCAATTGAATATACATTAACTTTTAATACCTGCAATAAAATACCCTATAACAATTAAATACCAATTAACGGAAATAAAGAGAGTGAAACTTTTTTAAAGACGTTTTTGGGCTAGAATTTTTTCACGTTACTTTTATATATTTATATATTTCTATACAAGACAAGGGAAGTTGAAGAATGAAGTATTCCAAGAAGAAAGTGTTTTTGGAGAAATATATATACATACGTGTATGTTTGTTGTTGTTCAGCTCTATAAATAATATTCAATTAATTAAGGTTTTACGTTGAGATAAAAAAGTCAGTGTCACGAGCGGGATTCGAACCCACGACCTTCGGCTTGATACGCCGCTACTCTACCACTTGAACTATCGTGACTTCCATCCCATCGGGCACTAACTTCCCATCTCAACCGCACCTTTTTGAATTTTTCCTCCTTTTTGCCATTTTTCAAATGTCGTGTAATCTATTTGATTCTCGGCGACAAATGAAATGGCCACGGAGAGCTTTAGTGAAGTATACTTCATTTTAATTCATTAAATTCACTATTATAGATAATTTAATTCACTATAGATAAAATAGTCAGTGTGATGAGCGGGATTCGAACCCATGACCTTCGGCTTGATACGTCTTGTTCGAATCCCGCTCGTGACATTGACTTTTTTATCTCAACTCAAAACCTTAATTATGTGAATGTTATTAATTGGTCAAGCGGACCACGAAAAATAATGAATCTATAAATAATAATAAAGTGTTTTTATTAATAACTATACATTTTCCAAATTAATTTTAATAATTGCAGAAAATATTCAATGGTCGTATGATCGTATACTAAGTTGCTAGGTTTTAAAATTATAATAATAATNGACTCTGGGGGAGTGAATGTGACCAGACTTCTATGTTTGTTCGAGTGTTGTGTTTGTTTTAATTTGTTGACATGTTAGAATTAGAATTTTAAAAAAAATTGAAATATTTGAGAAGTAGATGATTTCCTCATCATGGATTGTTTAGGTAATTTCAAGCGATTTAGTTCCGGCATATTTTATCTAAATGTTAAAATGTACAATTATAATTATTATCTAATTAATCTTAAATTTTATTTAAAATCTGCTGAAACATCGTTTAAATTTACCTAAGGAATCAATGTGCAAATAGTGGCCCTCTTAGTATTAATTGGATTAGATTAGAGTATTTCATAAATACGTTTTTTTAAATTCTGCTTCTACTTATTTCGATAATTTAATTCATTTGTTATGTATTGTGTTATATTAAAAATGTTGGAGGATGAATAGATTCTTATGTGTGTGCATATAAGTCCTTTAAATCATATGCGACTGCCTTTTTCGTAAATATAGATTAACTTTCAACACCTCCAAAAAACCTATAACAATTAAATATTTAATTAATGGAAATAAAAAGTGAAAATTATGAATAAATCGAAGACGCCTTTCCTGCTTGTCTGTTCTGTGACTCTAGAACTATGCTTACCTGCTCTAAAATTGACTAAGTCTTATTTAAATGACACCAAATAAAATGAATGATCTAGTTGAGTTTTTAATCTAATACAATTTTTCGAAAGTTTTTCACGTTATTTCGATCTAAATCTAATCAATGATTAATGAATCTGCATATTAGTTTAGTCGTCCTGCTTACATCAATTTGAAAGCAAGCAACCCTAGAGAGCTGATCGTTTTTACGGAACTAGATCTTTTTTAAGAGTTATTTGGGCAATCCTTTTTAAAAAGATAGTTCCTACTTACAGTAAGTTGTCTTGCAACGATCCGGATTTCGAGCCTTTTAGCTCATCATCAGGTTGAAGGACTTCTACAACCACGTCTCTCGACATGAATTGCCAAAGTGAACCCGCTGATACCTCCGCCAACGCGACGTTCCAATTAGCAGCTGACTTTTTTAATGGCGCTCAATTTGAACGTGCGAAACGCGGAAATTATAACCCAAATAAATGTTATAATAGTAAATACCTAATATTATTAAATTACTATAAAAGTAATAACAATTAAAATAATTAGTTTAATTATTTGGCCGTTTGATATTATTTATGTACATATTTAAGATGGGAGGTAGATCAAAATCTCTTATTAATGCATTTATCACCATGTTCAATTTTACATTTTTTAATTTCAAATTTCTCAAACCAATCTAGTTCTTTCAGTTTGTTGAAACTATATAACACCCTTGTATTTAAATTTGAATTGAAATTATGTTTTGTTTCTTTTAGATGGTCCTTAAATTCCGAAAATTTGCTCGATTTAGACAAGTGTTCGTTTACGAGTAAATTAATTTACTATTATAATATTTATTTGTGTTATAATTCCCACGTTCAAATTGAGCGCCATTAAAAAAATCAGCTGCTACTTGGAACGTCGCGTTGGCGGAGGTATCAGCGGGTTCACTTTGGTAATTCATGTCGAGAGACGTGGTTGTAGAAGTCCTTCAACCTGATGATGAGCTAAAAGGCTCTAAATCTGGATCGTTGCAAAACAACTTACTGTGAGTAGGAACTATCTTTTTAAAAAGGATTGCCCAAATAACTTTTAAAAAAGATCTAGTTCCGTAAAAACCTTTTTTTTTTTTTTAACATGATCTCTTTTTATTTCGTTATTCTTATTTTTCTGCCTAAGTAACTAAACCACACGTTTGATTTGTATGTCTTTTTTACTTTATTTGGATTAAATTTGTTTTAAAAATAAATTACTTAATTTAAAAAAAAACTATTAACATTCTTAAGTACTGTGTGTGGTGATTAGTGACCGTTAATCGATAATTATTCAGAAATCTGAGATGCGGTCTGGTCTGATGTAGGTTTCAGAGAAACATTTTCTTTATCGTGCCAACGTTTCGATCTTTATTGAGATCATCTTCAGGGCCTGGGATTTACAAACATTGTTTACATTTAACAAATACATTTAGGATGTGGAAAAGTGAATTTATACAATGCAAAGTATATTATTTGTATTTGGTAGGAGAGATCATCTTCAGGGCCTGGGATTTACAAATATTGTTTACATTTACCAAATACAAATAATATACTTTGCATTGTATAAATTCACTTTTCCACATCCTAAATGTATTTGTTAAATGTAAACAATGTTTGTAAATCCCAGGCCCTGAAGATGATCTCAATAATGATCGAAACGTTGGCACGACAAAGAAAATGTTTCTCTGAAACCTACATCGCACCAGACCGCATCTCACGATTTCTGAATAATTATTCTTAAATACTTTGGCGTCGTCCGGAGAGCTGA